TTGTGACAATGTTGATTACCACAAATAATTTTTCAATTGTTCAGTTGCACTCTAATGTCTTTTTTTTTTAAAGCTAAGAAAGACATTAACTGCTTTTCCACTATCGGGCCAGTGCGAACCAGTGCTTTCAGTGGTCCAGGCGGGGCTCATAGCCTCAGACTTGTAGCACTGAGCCCAAAATCACACTGTGTTTGCACCGTCGGACCAGAAGCTCCACTTCACTAAAACCCGCCCTTTACATGCCTCTTTGGAACAATGTCATGCAATCCCATCATTTCACCAACAAAGAGAAGGTTTATCAGAAAACTAATCAGAAATAAAGGTGCGTTGTAATTACTGTGATTACGAGATACCAACTTGTAAAGAGCCTTCACATCCTCGTAGAAATCGTAGTTACAGCTTGTGAACTGGGAATTTTCTGAGAGCTAGGACTTGTATCACCTGATCACCTCAGATTCATTTAGGCGCTATCAGGGTCGTGCACAGGTGGGTGGCCTGGTGGCTAGAGCCATTGCCTCTCTCCCCTCATTAGCTGAGGGGAGAGAGGGTTCATTAGCTGAACCCTCCAGCACCCCACCCCCACTGATGCCATTGGATCAGAGCGTTGTCAGTCATAATCTATAATCTAAAACAAGGAAGTTATTATGTTTGGAAACAATGTTCCCAGCAAGTAGGGAATACGAAGCCCTGTTTATAAATTTAAATATAGGGCTATACAGTCATGTAGTGTTTACGTCATGGTGCAACATTTTAGAGTAAATATTTAGTAAACATTTAGTATTGAAAAATCCCCTTAAAATACAAAATGTTAAAACTAAAATATGATTGAACTAATATATATATATATATATATATATATATATATATATATATATATATATATATACATTGAACCAGCACCCCACCCCCACTGATGCCATTGGATCAGAGCGTTGTCAGTCACTGCCTGATTCGCTGCTCATTGCTGCCTGTAAATTTGATAATGCTCAACAGCACTGGATCAGAGCGCTATCATTGCTTTGGTAAACCCTTTTTACCATGCCAATAAAGCTACTGGAATCGGAATCTGTCAATCGCTGATAGCGATGTGGAGTTTTTCAAATGACTCGACCACAGACCACATCTCTGTTCATATGGTACGTAAACACTCGGTAATATATTTTGAAACATCACCCTGGTCACGCTGAGTCAATATTTATTCTGATTACTTTCGTGTGACTGATCAAGTTATTATATGTAGCTTTGGAACTGATTATAAAACACTGACTATCAGATCATGAAATAGGTCTGTGGAAACCGAGTAACTGATTTAAAGGGATAGATTATCCCAAAAAATGAAAATTCTGTCATTAATTACCGCATGTCATTCCAAACCCGTAAGACCTTCGTTCATCTTCGGAACACACATTAAGATATTTTTGATGGAATCTGAGAGCTCTCTGACCCTCCCATAGACAGAAACACAACTGCAATGTTCCCAGGTCCAGAAACGTAGTAAGGACATCGGTAAAACAGTCCATGTAACATCAGTGGCTTTAACTTCAATTTTGCAAAGCTACGAGAATACTTTTGATGCGCAAAGAAAACTAAAATAATGACTTTATTCAACAATTCTTCTTCAGTCGTATCTGTTTCTGTTTATTTGTAGTCACAGACAGTATACATCACATTTAGAAAGAATGATCATTTCTATATTTTTTTCCATCAAAATATGACCTGAGTAGCTTTAGCACTCTCTCCAGTCCCAATACATTGTTATATTTTTAGTCAGAGAAACAGATGGAGCTCCCGAACAAAACTATGATTATGACATATTTTATGACATACATGGAGCTAAATAGGAACATCATACAGTCAGGTATAAAGAGACTTACTGACAGATAAAATATGTAACTAAATAAATACACGATTGTGATATCCTATATGATTTGTCTGATTTCTTCAAGCGGTCGTATTTACCATGTTTACTGTGGTAATGGCTAGTGTGAATAGTCTTTTGCATCCCATATAAATATTTCTGCCTTGTATGGTGATCATAATCCACATCGATCTCAAACAGAAGTTTAGTCCCAATACATTGTTATATTTTTAGTCAGAGAAACAGATGGAGCTCCCGAACAAAACTATGATTATGACATATTTTATGACATACACGGAGCTAAATAGGAACATCATACAGTCAGGTATAAAGAGACTTACTGACAGATAAAATATGTAACTAAATAAATACACGATTGTTTTATCCTATATGATTTGTCTGATTTCTTCAAGCGGTCGTATTTACCATGTTTACTGTGGTAATGGCTAGTGTGAATAGTCTTTTGCATCCCATATAAATATTTCTGCCTTGTATGGTGATCATAATCCACATCGATCTCAAACAGAAGTTATTTCAAACACTCGCTGCTGTCTGAAAGTTGGCTTATTGAGGAAATGTGTGATAATAGTCATCAGGACCATAAAATGGACAAAAATTCCATTAGACTTGCATTGCTGGAGGGAGCCGAAACACATCTACAGATCAGAGACATTAGGCTGAACTCTTTTGACTTAAGGTTTGATCACACTTATGTGCCACTGTTCAACATAATTTCACAGACAATATACAGTCATTTAAATATTAATCAGTGAAAAAGGCAAAAAATTCCCTATTCCCTATCAGACAACCGCTTAGTTTGAAAGTGACTTCTGTGTGAGTTGTGCTTCATGCATCGCTATTTTGCTCAATTTGATTTATTATGCTCCAATCATCAAATGCTATTGATTGAGTTTAACTTATACTAAACCGGAAATATGTCATTAAACTGTGTGGCTTATTGAGGAAATGTGTGATAATAGTCATCAGGACCATAAAATGGACAAAAATTCCATTAGACTTGCATTGGTGGAGGGAGCCGAACCACATCTACAGATCAGAGACATTAGGCTGAACTCTTTTGACTTAAGGTTTGATCACACTTATGTGCCACTGTTCAACATAATTTCACAGACAATATACAGTCATTTAAATATTAATCAGTGAAAAAGGCAAAAAATTCCCTATTCCCTATCAGACAACCGCTTAGTTTGAAAGTGACTTCTGTGTGAGTTGTGCTTCATGCATCGCCACACTATTGACAATAGACAATGGACCTTTTTTACACCAAATTTCACAGAAATATTGCTCATGTGACCACCAATAACCCTCTAGAACACCTTAGCAACCACAAACAACATGCTAAAAACCAACAGCATGCATGTGCTTGTTCTTTTAGTATGTGAGTGTATCCATGAGCACGTGTCACATCTGCCTGGCAAATGCGTCAAGAATGACGTGTGGACGCAGAGTTTGAAAACAATCCCAAGGACAAACTGTGCATACACAAAAGACTCTCTGAAGGAGTAGGAGGACAGAGCAATGTAACTGGAGAACAGTTTGAAGAAGCAAATTCAATTACCATTACAAGAGCACTAATGAAGACTCCTCAGATCTGCACAGTGCTGGGTAGATTACTAACAAATTGTAGTCCTGAGTACAGATTACGTGATGAAAACTGTAGTAACGTAATCTAGGTTACTTATTTTAGGAAATGTATTCTGACTACTTTTTAGATTACTTTTTTTTATCAAACTTGTTTTAAACTTACCATTAAATGTACCATATTGCATTAAAAAAGCAAAGAGAAAGAAACTATATTCCATTTTTTTGACATCAACATCATAAAATGCATTAAACATTACATTAGTTTCTATAATGTTTCCCAAACTGGGCTTAATGTAAGAACTGCAGTGGGTTTGTGAGTTAATATAAAGCTAATAATTAAATCATAAAAATGTAAAATAAATTGTTTAAACACTTGAACATTTATGAACATGAATATTTAATTTGTTTACCTGCGCGTCAATGTGACCATTAAGCGACACTGTAAACATTGTGTGAATAATATGTAATGTAATCCATAAAAAAGTAACTAATCTGATTACGAGCATTATAAAATGTACTTTTTGGAATCTAATTCAGTTGCCCAGCTTTGGATCTGCAGCTACTCACTAGACAATGACAACAACTCCACCCTCTCACCTCAAACAAGGGTGGATGGCAAAAAGCAGATTGGTGTGTGAAAACAGCTCGCTTCACATGATGTTCTTTTCACAAGAATGAGAATGAGTCAAACAACAAAGTTAAATATTGGAGCAAATATTTAAGGCAAATATTTAGGAGTTGATATGAGCTATGGACTGAAGCCAGTGTAACCACACATAACAGACATGATGACATTTTGACATGAGAACATTTTTAGTTTTACACGAGTGTAAAATTAATGAAAGGGCTCAAACCTTTTACATAAATACACAATTTATAATATAAAGTTCTTGGCTGAGGTAGATCTTCAAAACACTGCAGATTCATATCAATATCATGTCATATTCCTCTACTTGTTGCTTTTAGTAAACAGAACAAAAACGACTTGTGCCTGTAAAGGTTTTGAAGTCATCCTTGAACTTTAAATGTACATTTCGAAATGGTTTTGTTGTAGGAAATAAAAGCCCAGTCAAATAGCCAGAAGACAAAGAGCAGGCAGAAGAAGAGCTGCTTTTCTTCTAAATGTCCAGGGTAATATGCTCTACTGTTGAATCATTTTGTGTGTTAAAAGGAGCTATCCCTGAGTGCTCGGAGAAGTGTGCGGATTCTGGGAAACATTCCAGTGAGCGAGAGGAAGATACAGAATCAAACCTCCCTCATACTGACACATTTGTACCCGTGGGAGGCTCACCTACAACTGATAGATAGATAGATAGATAGATAGATAGATAGATAGATAGATAGATAGATAGATAGATAGATTTAACCATGTTTTAGTTTACCATAAATGCTTGTCAAGTACATTCAGAAGTACATTTTAAGCATATTTCAAAGACAAAAGAATGATGGATTTTAGATAGATAGATAGATGGATGGATGGATGGATGGATGGATAGATAGATAGATAGATAGATAGATAGATAGATAGATAGATAGCATGACAATTGTTGCTTGCGACAACATGCTGGAGGAGTCGGCGGCGCTGCCTGGGCACCACTCTCTGGAGCGCTATGAGCCAGACCACGAGTGCTGCGAGAGAGTTGTCATCAATATCTCAGGCTTGCGCTTCGAGACGCAGCTCAAAACCCTGTCCCAGTTCCCCGAGACTTTACTTGGCGACCCCAAGAAGAGAATGCGCTACTTTGACCCACTCAGAAACGAGTATTTCTTTGACAGGAATCGGCCGAGCTTCGATGCCATTTTATATTACTACCAGTCCGGGGGGCGTATTCGGAGACCCGTGAACGTTCCCATTGACATTTTCTCCGAGGAGATACGCTTCTACGAGCTCGGGGAGGAGGCCATGGAGAAATTTCGAGATGATGAGGGCTTTATAAAGGACGAGGTGCGTCCGTTGCCCTCTAATGAGTTTCAGCGACAGGTGTGGCTGCTGTTTGAGTACCCGGAGAGCTCGGGTCCGGCCAGGGGCATCGCGATCGTCTCGGTGCTGGTCATTTTGATATCCATAATTATCTTTTGTCTGGAAACGTTACCCGAGTTCCGAGACGACAGAGACCTGGCGACGGTCGCCCCACTTCTGAACGTAACTAACCCTTACCTCACGAGTCCCTTCTCTGACCCGTTCTTCGTGGTGGAGACTCTGTGCATCATCTGGTTCTCCTTTGAGCTGCTCGTCAGGTTCTTCGCGTGCCCCAGCAAAGCCACGTTCTCCAAGAACATCATGAACATTATTGACATCGTGGCCATCATACCCTATTTCATCACTTTGGGGACCGAGCTCGCGGAAAGGCAAGGCAACGGCCAGCAGGCGATGTCCTTGGCCATTCTCCGGGTCATCAGACTGGTGCGAGTGTTTCGGATTTTCAAACTCTCGCGGCACTCGAAAGGGCTCCAGATTCTGGGGCAAACGCTCAAAGCCAGCATGCGAGAGCTGGGCTTGCTGATCTTCTTTCTCTTCATCGGGGTCATCTTATTCTCGAGCGCCGTCTACTTCGCCGAGGCGGATGATCCCGACTCGGGCTTCAACAGCATCCCTGATGCGTTCTGGTGGGCGGTGGTTACCATGACGACCGTGGGATACGGCGACATGCATCCAGTCACCATAGGGGGCAAAATCGTCGGCTCCCTGTGTGCGATCGCGGGCGTGCTAACCATCGCTTTGCCAGTGCCAGTCATCGTGTCCAATTTCAACTACTTTTACCACCGAGAGACTGAGGGAGAGGAGCAGGCGCAGTACCTCCACATCGGCAGCTGCCAGCCTCTGTCCTCCTCCGAGGAGCTGAAGAAGACGCGGAGCACGTCTTCGCTCAGCAAGTCGGAGTACATGGTCATTGAGGAGGGCATCAACAGCGCCTTCAAGCAGCCCAACTTCCCCGCTCAGAACAACCAGAACTGCGTAAACATGAAAAAGATGTTCACGGACGTGTAGGCTCTTCTAGACGCGTGTCTGCGTGATGATGGCAACGCTAGGTTCGTGTCATGACTGTCAAGTGCTGCTGAGTGTGTCGCCCTCCATTTCCACGACGCAGAGGAAGTGGTTACATGTCTAACGCGCCAGTCCCACGCAGTGTGCATCACCTGTTTGACTGAACCATTTCACTGTGAGGAGGAAGCCGCTATCGGCTTTCAGTCCGTTTGCTTTAGAGTACGTTCGTTCATATGGGCGATATGTGACATCAGTGTGGCAAGCCGCTTTAACATGTATTCCTTAAAACTAACTAGCATCTGTTTTTATTTTATTAGTATTTTTGATTACGAGTAGCCTAAGTAATTCAGTAGTATGGGTTTCAGTTGCTATTGTAACTTTATTTATTTATTTCAGATATAAAAAAATGAAAATGTACTGGTAAATTTCTGCCAGGATATTATCATTTAATTTTTACATACATTTCCTTTAACCCTAAAACACAAAGCAATGCAGTGCAAAATTAAAAATACAGGTAAAACACCTGTAAAAAAAATCAATACAGAAAATTCCTTCATATTAATACAGTACATCATGCCCTATTTTTACAGTTTGTTTAACACTGTAGTACTTCTATTCAAGTAGTCCCTCCAAATCCCACACTGGGAAAAAAAATGGTGTAGGATTTACTTTGAAAAAAAAATCACTCTAATAGGTCTAGTTACAAGAAACATTTATTTAAACATGACATGTTCTTGATTTTATTATTATTATTATTATTTTGTGCAGTGCAGTAGTGATTTATTTCGTTGTTACTGGTAACAAACCTTTTGTCATTGAATTCTGTCAGGTTAATATATGAACTGTTCACTTCAGACTAGCGTGCACTAGTAACATTTTTAATCTTACTTTAACTATACAGCCATTCTGATTAGTCTTTACATTTGACAAATTAAAAAGCAATTTTATCTAATGATATACTGTAAGAAATGTTACTTACTGTTGGCATATATATGTGCACCTCATAAATAAGTAATAGTATCTAACAAAGGTGTACTAGTAAAAACTGGAATAAATGCAGCAACAATTAGATATATATAATTGGAAGGGAGCTGTTAATATCTGTGCCACAAATCCCCATAAAATTCAATGACAAAAAATTAGCTTCCAGAAACAGTCAAGTTACTTGTTACTTCAGGAATGGTAAAAGGTAGCAAAAGTAAGTACTAATGAGAAGTTTACTAGTGAAATCGAAAAGACACCAGTCACTACTGAATGACTTACTCGTAATAAAAATGTAACATTAACATAAAAATAGTTTAAGGTAAATGTTAAAACATCTTGCCACAAAATCAGTATTTCGTTGATGACAAGTTAATAGCTATTCTATACAAATGCACTCATTGCATTGCATAATCTACTTTGACATAATGCCTTTGACTTTGTTTATTCGCACCAGAATAGGGAGGGAAGCGCTTATTATAATGAAAGAAGAGGTAGCCTATTTAAAGTTATTGTGTTTTTTCTTACATTTTGGACAAGCGTCACTCAGATAACATAGCACTTGTTGGAATACGTGTCTTAAATGACTAATTTGTGTGCTTCTATTGTGTGTTGTTGTCTCGTCGAGACCGTTCCATAGCAACCAGTGAAAGATGCAAAAGATGCTATATGTCAGCTTTTTTTCCAGTTAGAGCTACTACTCATGCAGCGTTCAAAGATCTAATAATTCAAATCTAAAATAGTTCAGATTCAAGCACAAATTCAGAGATTTACTATTGTGTACAGATCACTGAAGACAAGTGGGAGGGGAAAGATCAGAGGCTGAAAGCACTTTCGACTGGATACTTCTAATCACGTTGGAGTGATGCAGTCTCCATAGCGACGATAGGTTCCTCGGTAACCCGCTATTGTTGCCATGGCATTTTTTTTTTGTTTTGTCAGTAATCCTCCAGAATGTTTTGAAGTCTGGCTGAAGATTCGCTGTCTGGCTGGATTTTGTAAACTGGTGAAAATGGATTTTCTCATCTAACCAGAGCACCAGTGATGCAGTCTCCATAGCGACGATAGGTTCCTCAGTAACCCGCTATTGTTGCCATGGCATCTTTTTTTTTTGGTTTCCTCAGTAATCCGCCATAATGTTTTGAAGTCTGGCTGAAGATTCGCTGTCTGGCTGGATTTTGTAAACTGGTGAAAATGGATTTTCTCATCTAACCAGAGCACCATAACAACTGCAACAACAACATGATCAAACAGAGAACTCCAGAAATGTTCTGGAGTATCTTCAAAAGACCCCAAACTATTAAGCCACACTCTGGGATAAAGTGCAATACATGTGAAAGTTTCATCACTGAATTGTTCTAGCACAAAACAAGCACAGTGAAAATGAATGGGTGTGATACACTGATCATTCACGAGGGGCTGCTGTATCTTCGCCAAACGCTTGGAGTATTCCGCCATCTCTATTCTCCCACAGGATAGACATCCCGCCAAGTCATACGAAACAGGTGAATCCTACACCACATAGATTATTATTAGTCATATTAATTCATGCCTAATTATGTCAAGTACTGACCATAATGTTGGTTTGTTAGCCTACTGCATGTATGAGTTTAGTTTAGTCTTGCATGGGCTTCTTAGCATTTCTCATCCTTTATTTTTTACATAAACACTGGTGGTCTCCATTTTTAGCGTTTTAAAGACTTTTAAGATATGAAATGCAAAGCAGGTGAGGCTATTATTTAAAGCATGGCATTAAACACTAACTAATTGCCTTTTAAATGCTGTTTCATCCAAACATGTGGTGTAAGAGAGAAAGCTGCCCCATCTAAGCTCACCTTGATTTGACATTGATTTGAAAAGTGTCAGTGATGCCACGACTATCGCAGGGCTGCCACCTTGTGGCTCAGAACAAAACAGTGGCCTTAACTGCATCATGACAGTCCATTCTGAGCAACTTTTTAATATTTAAATAATATCATAAAATATAAAATCTGTGGTTCTTAGCAGTGCTATTTTAGTAAATTTGATATACTATTATAACTTTATATATTTTGAATTCGTTTTTATATTTTCCGTTTTCATTTGAATTTTATTTAAATTTAACAGTATATATATGGTATACAGTTAAACTAAATAAAAAATTTGAAATATTGCCATTGCAACTACCTATATATATATATATATAGAGAGAGAGAGAGAGAGAGAGAGAGAGAGAATATGAAAAAATATATTTATACATTTTATAATAACCTTTATAACATATAAGTATATCAAGTTAAACTAAAAAAAGAAAAAATAGAAAAAAATGCCTTGGCAGCTAGCTAACACTTATTTTATTTCAAGTAAGTAAACCTTTTTATGCTATACTATAATATTTATTTATATTTAATTTTACATTAACAAATATATTTAAATATATTTGTTTTTAATATATTAAAAAATATATAATTTTTATTAACAACGCCATTTTCATTAATGGTTGCTTGTCTAACGCTACGCTAGGCGTGTGAATTGCCTTTTTTTTAAAGATTTATTTTTGGCGTTTTATCGATTGGACAGTAGTGAGACAGGAAGATAAGTGGGAGATAGACGGGGGATGGGATTGGGAAAGGTCCGCAAGCCGGGACTCGAACACGGGACGCCCGAAGCACAATGGCGCTACCTGTCGACACGCTGCCCACGAGGCTATCGTTGACGTGATTTGCCGTTTTGGAAATCAAATTGAAAAAAGCATAGAAAGCTGTTGCACTTAAGTTCTGACATTATGTCACTGACATACAGCATCACATTAAAATCTCTCAGTCAACATGTGAAAGATGTCATATCTTCAGTAGGTCATTCCTACTGGCCCGGCTTACTTGTTAATGTCTTTTTAGTCGAGTGGCCTGTTCTTTCTGATACAGCAGCACAAGCAAGCTCAGGATGAAAAAAAAAATGTGTGAATCTCTAAAACGCCATTTCATCAAATTAAAATATCCGACACTTTCTGAGCTAAAATGAAAAGAGACTCGAGAATACAAAAACCGCTTGTGAGGCCCGTCCTCTAGATTTCATTCATGACCCAAAAGCATTGCGTTTCAATGCAGAGAGCCACGCAAACAGCCATCCATCTGATCTTCTGCAACATTGCGCATGTCATTGCAAGGAATCTAGGACAAGCTGTGTTTCTTGGGGAGCATTAGAGAGCTCTTCTGCACGGCTGCATCCACAAGCAGCTCCTGTCTGGCTTCTTCTATAGTGGCTACTTGTCATTTGTGCCAATCTCATGCTGTCTGCACATACTTTCGCCTCCTCTCTGGACATTAGTGTGTCCTGTGTGACTCTCATATTCGACTAGCCTCAGAGCCATTTCTGTGCTTTTAAAAGGCTTTGCTGATTTCGCCCTCCTCGTTGCATAATATTGGACCACATTCACTTCCTTTTTTTAGGTCAGTTTGAACGATCGCGAATAAATAATGTGAGAGTTAGATTCACACTCTATTACTGACACAGTTTTGATAGTTTGATAAAATGCAAGTGTCGTTTATTACTTTCACTCATATAAGTAGGGCACCATTTGTGCTCCACATGTGAATGACGGACGCCTCAAATCATGTGGCTTGTTGAGGAAAGGTGTGTGGTTACAATTCTTAGTCATCAGGATTTTTGTATGACACACTGCTCAATATAGAGGCAGTCGTTCCCCAAAGGTTGTGGGTTCGAGCCTCAGTATTGGCAGGGATTGTCGGTGGGGGGAGTGAATGACCAGCGCTCTCTTTTTAGGTCAGTTTGAACGATCGCGAAGAAATAATGTGAGAGTTAGATTCACACTCTATTACTGACACAGTTTTGATAGTTTGATAAAATGCAAGTGTCGTTTATTACTTTCACTCATATAAGTAGGGCACCATTTGTGCTCCACATGTGAATGACGGACGCCTCAAATCATGTGGCTTGTTGAGGAAAGGTGTGCGGTTACAATTCTTAGTCATCAGGATTTTTGTATGACACTCTGCTCAATATAGAGGCAGTCGTTCCCCAAAGGTTGTGGGTTCGAGCCTCAGTAGTGGCAGGGATTGTCGGTGGGGGGAGTGAATGACCAGCGCTCTCTTCCACCTTCAATACCACGACTGAGGTGAGACCCTTGAGCAAGGCACCGAACCCCCAACTGCTCCCCGGGGGCCGCAGAAAACTGCCCTGGGTGTGTGTGTGTGTGTGTGTTCACTACTCACTGCTGTGTGTGTGCACTTGGATGGGTTAAATGCAAAGCACAAATTCCGAGCATGGGACACCGTATTTGGCTGCATGTCATGTCACACTTTTATATTCCACTTTATGAATATGCGTTCCGCTCATGTACTGCTCATGCTCACTGGAAGAGTAAAGTCTGCTCAAATAACTGCTCACATGCTCTGATAGCTTTGTAGGACTATGCATTATTTGGATAATTAATAAAAAAAAAATTAAAAACCCAGTTAGTCCTATATCTGATTATGTTGAATAATAATATATCGAAATGTAATATTCATATATTTTCTATCTAACTTTATTGTGTTACTTTCAATAAAGGTGTGGTTATTTTATTGGCTTGTGTTTTTTAAATGCATTAAAATTATTGCGTTAAATTAAAAAAGTCTTACAAAATTAATTTATGTTATTTAATAAAATAATAAATAATTATTACAAAGCATTTTCACTTCGGTCAAGTGCATCCAGAATTTCCAGAACATCCAGAATCTCACCACTTGTCAAGTAATATCACACAATTGAATTTATTTCTCACAATTGTAACTTTCCTTTTTTATAATTGTCACTTTATATCTCAAAATGTGATTCTATTCTATTCTATTCTATTCTATTCTATTCTATTCTATTCTGTTCTATTCTAAAGTATTAAATCATTATACTTTAGAATTGTATTTCTCAGAATATATGTGACTACTCACAATGTATATTATATTCTAAAATATTAAATCACATTTTGAGGTTTATTATTACACTTAGGAATTTTATTTTTGTAGAATATATGTGACTATTTCTTATAATGGCAACTTTATTTTCTTTATAATTGTGACTTTATATCAGCTATGGCAGTGAGTTTTGTACAGACATGCACGGCAAGAATTCATTTATTTATTTTATTTATTTTTTTAAGAATATATATATATATATACAGTATATACAATTTTTTTTTAATTATACCAGTATCTGTGCCTTTGAATATCAGTAATGACCATGCCTGATTATTACAATTAATTAATTAATTAAATTACTCATTCATTCATTCATTCATTCATCTAATCCTGTTTCTTCTCCCATTCTTTTCCACAGCAGTGAGGAAGGAGACAGAAGCGGATGAAGCTTTAAAGGAGTTTAATCTCTGGAGTTCCGGATTGCCTGTGTGGACCCCAGCTTGCCAAACGTAGGGGCTCGTGGACTGTTCCCTTCTCCTCCACACTTCTGAGAGGAGGTGCCTTCAAAAAAAAAAATCCCCCTCGTCCAGCCTCCCGGCCCTGATGTCCCCTGGCTAGACAGCCCCAGCGCACCACTTGCCTTTTCTATGTTCAGTATTCTGTCTTTTTACCAAAAGAAGATGGACTCCTGTATTGATGTGCTGTTTCTGCTGCTAAATGTAAGACTCTAAACTCCACATAAGTGCTCCTACACGCTCCCACCGCCGTAGCCCAGCAGTGTGGAGGGCTGTGCTAGTTATGCTAGCTCCATCAGTTGTCATGTGTCGTCAGGCTGTGATGTCGTCTTTGACGTTGCTGTATAAACTGATCGTCAAAAACGTGATGCCTCCTTGTCATTTTTGAGTGGCGTTGGTTACTCGTGTCTTTCTCTGGTCCCATCTGTCCGTGTGTCACATGCCAACTTCTATCATGCTAATGGCCATTATTTACATGTGGAATCCTTTCGTCACATGGCATTCGAAGGCTGATGTGTCGATGCAATGTCTGAAATACTGCATCAAGTACAAGTAAGCAATAAAGTACAAGAGGCCGTGCTATATTGTGAATTTTGTGTTTTTAAGGGCTGTTTTTTATATGTATCTA